TCATGTCTTTTGACTGTAAAATCCCCGCTCCCTGCCCCCTCCAAAACAATTCATCAAAATCCCGACCCCTCGGGACAATCTTGCTGTTAAAAGCKCGTTAAAAACGCGTCACGTCRCCATTCAGTMCCCCGCTAGCCCCGGGGGTCGGGGGTCGGGGGGCGGTGGTTTCKATTGACTGGTGCAAAATAGTGCATGCGATGGTAATATGTGTTAGTATATTTTGTCAGTCTGCTTTTAGAGCATCAAAAACTTACGAATTTAAACTTTTATCCGTGACATTCAATTGAAATAGTGTTTAGTCTCAGAAGRCATTGGGTTTTGTTAACAAMTTCAGCATGTTCGCTCCGGGCTGKTTGGCTGGGTTTTTTTTCYAGTAATCAATTTCTCYTCCCGTTGGGAATTTTTGATGTCAGTCCCGACGATGCCAGAGGAATTCAACAATAATAAAAGTCCCGGCTCCTCTAGTTTCATACAGCCAGAAATGTGGTCAAACAGATCATTTCCTTTGATTTAAACGACAATTAAACGGCCCCCTAGTGCCGGACTAATGCTGTTAKGAACATTGTAAGAATCTTCGGCCCCAGGCCCCTGATGCGTAAGGCTGCTAAAATTCAAATTATCGATGATACATTTGAAGGGCTGGACTATTTTAAAGCCCGCGCAATAAGTTCTAGTTGTGAGCTAAAATACCTTATTTCAAATCCTAGTCCAGTCGATGATTTGAAATGTTTAAAGACCATGAACTACGATCTATWAGAACTTATTGCAAGGACTGCGAAAGTCCAAGGATTAAAAAAATAATAATAATTTGGACTTTGAAAAAAATTTCGAATTACTGTGCAGAGGASTGTCCTAGATTTGAGTACTCTGAGCTCGTGGTCAAATGCAGATAACAGGTTAACTACCTACCTCGTGACTGGACAGGATTTCAAAGTCCTCGTAACTAGCGGACTACGTCAGAACTAACTCCCATCGAAATCCAGACCGATATTGGACGGAGGCCTGAGTGACTTCTCAATCTCATTAATAATTCAGTAGAGATCATATTGTGCTAAATGCARCAACGATCTGGGAAACAAATCTCATATGTCCGGCCGGGGAATCATGTGCTTGATTCGATTTTTCAAAGTCCAAGCGGTTTGAAAAATACATAATTATTAGAAACTCGAAAAAAAATCAAAATACTTTACATAGGACCTCSCTAGATGRCAAGATACTGCTCGTCATAGTTACATTGGGATCACGGATAGTGCTACTTACCTCGTGAAGGATATAATGATTTGAAAGTTAAACTGTTAAAGTTCAAAGGCTTTGGGGAACCCCTGTGGACTCTATATTAGCGTCTTAGATCACAATGAGTCATACACAGCCTTACCAGAGCCTTCTCCAACCAACCATCMTAAAAGTCGATATTTAAGAGTAAGTTGTTAGAATGATATGCAATAATTTCTTGTGCACTTTTTTTGTGTCTTTATCAACTTCAACAATATTGAAACAAATTTGCCTTCCTTCAGGATAACTGTCGCCTCATTCTATTGTAAAAACGATGTGTAAAGCACTTTATATGGTGAACTGGATCTCACTTTTGTGGTTCTTTACGGAAGCAGTAGTGAGTATACCTGAGTGGTTAGTAAAYTAATGTAGCTTCGAAAACGTTATAATTATATGGGCGTAGACCGCAAAGCTGCAACACTTAGAAAGGGGTGTGAAATCCCTTAGTTTTTGGCATTTATTCAATTATGATATATTCAAGTTGTATATTGATAAAATACGTTCCCGTAAGCACTAAATAGAGTGTAAATTGAATTTCGATCAAATAGAAACACGAGATAAGATTTTTGATGTCCAACTACCCCAATTTGACCACAGCGGCACAACAAGRACGTCGTTTCTGACCTTAAATCATCGCATAATTTTAATAACGAGACTTACCTGTAAGTCGATGATTGATTGGATTTCTCTCATGGCATCGTCCACAAATGAAATAGTCACATGAAAACCATGTACTGGTTAAAGTGCACGACGACTTTTAGAAAATAAGATTACTATAACGGTAAAAAAAAGATATTGAATTGTGTTTTCTGATTTATTAGAGTTTGAAAATTGAAAATAAAAATCATTGTTCGACGAGAGACTGAAAATTTGTTAAGCTAACATTTGGGTCCACAGTAGTTGGCTTACGCTGTTGTGGGGTTCCCTGCCTTAATCTGTACTTTTTTTATTGCTTTTTCATGTCTCATTTTGTAAGGCGAAGCTAACAAAATAAAACTTCGCCTTACAAAATGAAACAACGTAAAAAAAAATTGCTATAATCGTCTTTTTGCTTTGTCAGGCTGCCAATTATTGTTCTGGAAATCAAATCACCTGGATCAATAAGAATAACAGTTTCGTTCGGTGCTCGCCGTGCCCCCCATGTCCCCCCGGACAAGCATTTTCGATACCGTGTAACACCAAAGTATTAGAGGGAACTCCTGCTAATTGTAAGAACTGTCCAAGGGGGAAGTACTCGAGACTTTTCGACACCAAACCCTGTATGCATTGCAAGATTTGCTCTAAACGCCACYTAAAATCGAAGTGTACTTCGTATAGAAATGCAGAGTGCGGGGAKTGTCTGCCCGGATACTACAAGAGTYATGTAGTGTTTGACTGTGTTGAYTGTGACAAGTGCTGTTATGATGYCAAAGATGTTGCACCTCCAGGATGTCAAAAGGTTGGAAAGTGTAAYCCTAGATTACATGGATGTCCTTCTACATATAGTACTGCTATAATTCCAAAACCTACAACCAAACCAAAAACCGGATGGATGGCAAGTACTTTGCACAAGAAGAAAACAACTTCGCCAACTCCCAATCCCACTACAAAAGCCAAAGTGCAGCCATTATCTATAAGACACGTCCTCTCTACAACATTGACAAGCAAGATTAAAGCTCAACTCAATGGCTCGAAAAAGGTTATTTTTACATATATGAGCTGCCTTAGGATGTTTTAAGCAGGGATGCATATACCTGTGGTTATGTATCCGAGTGTATTTACACTAAAATGATCATCTTCTCCAAAACGCGTTTTCCAGAATTTAAATAGAGGATATCATTGGTCGCGCGGATTTTCAACACGAAAAGATCAAACTCGTATCTCCAAGCAGCCGTGTAATATTCTGTTTATCATCATAAGAAAGAAAGCAAATTGTGTCGTAAAATACCTTTTTTCTTACTTCCACTATATAGAGAAACCTCGAATGTGTTATTTTCTCTAGTGAAAATGACAACTTTACCTAATGGAGAAAATAGAGAAATTTTATAGATAATTATATATGATAAACATTGATAAGTGTAATATGTTCACTAAAGRGAATGCTGTGATCTTGTCCGGTGGCTTCGTGCACAAACACATGAGAAAAAAAGTTTCAGACATTCATTCCTCATATCTCATGAAATAGTTTCACTAAAATATAGTGAATAAATAGTGAATGTACCTACTACCCTGTTWAGTTATGATTGATTGATATTTTGTCTCTGATTTGACTTGTTCATTTAGGTCCATCCATCAGCTGGTGTTAAGTGTTCGGATCCTAATGACATCAGGCTAAAGAACCGAACAACTGGAAATATTGAAAGATGCATAGTTTGTCCAGAGTGTGCTCCATCCCAGCAATATTCTATTCCTTGTGGAAGTACAGTGGATTTGGGGATTGTTGGGAACTGRGTTGACTGTCCACAAGGAACATTTTCAGACAAGTTTGACAAAAAGCCATGTCAAAGCTGTACAATATGTACGAACAAAGTGTATAAACAGAATTGTACAAAGTATCAGAATGCTAAATGTGGAGATTGTTTACCAGGTTATAAATATGACCCAATTATATCTGCCTGTAATTTAATCACTAAGAGGACAACAATATTATCAAACATGAAGGCATTCTCAACAAAATCTACGAGAACATCAATACCAACAGCAACAACAACACCAAAAACAACAGCACAAACAACCGCAACAACAGCAACAATAACAACAGCAACACACACAACAGCTACAACATATAACAAAGACCTCAACAAAGACTGAGAGGTAAACACCCAAGCGATACAGCCAACATCTTTGGGGGGAAAGACAAGCGTGGTTAGGAAAGAGGTTAGGCAATTAGAGTGCAAACATTGTATCCACGTGAAACAAATAATACTATATCTCAGTTATATATTGTACTCTACTTCTAAATTATGCTAATTCTAGAGTGTTTTTCTATAACCCGACAGGCACTATTATATCTTGTTGCCTAGTAATAGTCTGTAGCATACTTTTCGTATTGTTATACCTGGAATACAATTCATGTTTTATAGACGTCTCAATCAAATGACTTGATTTCATTTTTTTACGCTCGGTTCAAACATTTKTCGCGTCATATCTAGTGCTGGGATGGAGTTTATGATCAGTTCATGAATTTATTGTTATGAGTAAATTTTGTTAGTTGGATGAACCAATTTAATCCACAAGAATCTATCAAGTGACGTGAAATACATGATCGACATCATTCAGTGAAGCGGGCCTGAAATAATTAAATACGGTATTTGATTTAGACGTCGAATTCTGAATTGCCCAGTATAAATTCCAATCTCGTGATATGGCGGATAAAACARATGACTTTTTCATACCAATTATTACAAGAATCATTCCTTAACTTTGGTACATGTGAGACGTGTAAATCAAATCCCGCACCATTGCCATATCTTTCGTTATAGATTCAGTGGGTGAAGTTATATTTTATCGCATTAAATTGATTTTATATACGCCGCTCTTCACATGCAATTCGTGAATTGTATTCAGAACATGTAAAGTTCAGCATATAACCTGGACCTAAATAACATCAATAGAAAACTAAACTTTTATTTAATGTTTTGTTCAGTTTGTATTATTGCTGGATTGTTCATTACAGAATTTTAAAGTCGTATTTATCAACCGTTTTTCAGTAAAATAAAATTTGTTAAAATAAAATGGCTAAATCACTTTGTTGCACTGCAAAGGGTTTTGATAGATATCTACAAAACCGTGAAAAAGGTTTGAATTAGCATGTTTTCTCMACGTTTTGTAATCAAGTAAGTCAATCGACGATAGCCGGACAAACTGGTTCAATTCAATTCTCCGGGACTGATTTTCAGTGTTCGAATCGTTAACTGGTTTMTTACTATCATTGTTGCTGGTTTTGTTTGTTTTTTGTTTTTTTCTTCTTTCTTGTCCGAAATTTGTTTTGCAATCGCAGTACAACCTTTCCGGTCGCTTTTGTAAATATTTGAAACGTGCATGCTTTTCCCAGCTCTAAAAGACCAAAAAAAAAACGCGGCTAAAGAAATCAATTCCTTTTTAAATTAAAACGACAATTCCCCGATGCTGTTCAAACACTGTTCACTAAATTCAATGCAAACTTTATTTGTATACTACTGTTTTACTAAGCCGGCCTACGTGATGATATTCCGACAATGAGGACTGCCGAAGTATCAGAACAACCTATTGCAAGTACTTTGAAATCCCAGTCCACTTCTATATTGTAGGCCTGAGTGACTTCTTAAACTCGAATTATTCAGAAATGATCATGGACATTTGCGTTCTTGCGCGAACGGCCTAGAAAAACAAAACATTCGCAAGTCCAAGGAGAAATTGCCAAAACATTCAGTYCTCTGCAGCAGACTTRRCTCGATTTCAAGATACTGGTCAGGGTACACGTATTGAGATCAAGCGTTGTGCTTACCTCGTGAAGTAAATTTTGAGAATTAAAGTTCAAAGGCTCTGGGAAATACCCGATCTCTATTGAGCATCTTAGATCATAATGCGTCAATGTCACACACACTTTTTGCAAAGCACTTCAAATCTGCAACTATCACAAAACCTGTCCATCGTATACTTTAGATACTTTATTGTCGATTATTAGGATTGTGTTATGGGRGATATGAAAGCCGAATTTCTTATACATTTTTTTGGACTTTGAATGTTGCTCGCACTTAACCAAAAATCGATCAACATATCTTTGCCTTCCTTCGGTATAACCACCATTTCACGTCATTGCAAATACGATGTGTAAAGCACTATATATGGTAAACTGGATATCGCTTTTGTGGTTCTTTACGGAAGCAGTGGTGAGTATACGCACTGAGTGTTTAGTCACAGTAAAACAATGTAGTTTAAAACGCTAATTTCAAAGCAGTTTTTTTCAGCTTTGGGTGTAGATAATTTTAGAGCGGTAGCCATTAACCCGTGAAATATACTTTTAATGTAATACACATTTTTTGTTCTTTATTTTGCACGTTTTCAGTGTGTTTCGTGCATTAATACACGGTGATACACTTTGTTTGGCGAGTAATACAACCCTTAGCAGGGAGGTGTGAGATCATTTAGATTAATAGAGTGCTTTAATTCATTTCAGTAAGAACTAATTAAAGTGTTCATTGTATTTCAGTCAAGTAGAAACARCAGATAACATTTCCAATTGACCCAGTAACAAACAAGAAAGTCGTTCTAGTAAATTTTCTTTGGTTTTTGACCTTAACTCATCGCATAGACTTCAAACATTAAAAGCGTTACAAAGTGTTAATGAAGTGGTACTAAATAAAAGCAATATAGCGTAGATTAAACAATAGAACAACAAGGAATTCAGTACAATTTAGCTCTAATTAGTGTTTCACGGCGTTTGAGCAAGTCTGTTTAAAGTCGATGATTGATCAGTCCGGAATAAAGGAGTCACATGAGACGCGCGCGCTTGCACAAATGCACATGGCACCTTTTAGGAAATTAATTATTAACATTTAATTATTCAAAAGGGAAAATACTGCTAAGAATTCTACGGAAGGAAAATCAAAGGCAGACCAATCTAAGCATTTGACTAGCTCATTTAGCGATATCTAGAATGCATGTAAATATAATAATAATAATAATAATATGTGTTATTTATATAGCGCCGATATCCTCTGAGTTCAAAGGCGCTMCYCATGTARAGATCATTTCACACGGACCGCTGTTTAAGGCGCAATTGGCAGCCACGCGGCTTACAATCATGAGGGGTTAYTAATTAGTATGGGTTAGTAGTAAGGCCTAGCCACACACACCGGGAATCATTCCCTACTCTTATGCGAACAGTGGTGTGGGTTCTTTAACGTCCCTCTAATACAGGTTAGTGAGTGAAGTGTAGAGAGACGGGACCTCCGATTTTACGTCGTTATCCGAGAGGACGAGAAGATCTTACCATTTGCAGATGGAGAAAGACAAAGGCAGCAACTTCTCCTCAATTATTTTAAGACCCTGAGTGTTGGTCCGGCCGGGGTTTGAACCTGCGACCTCCCGCACTAAAGTCCGATGCTCTACCTACTGAGCTAACCGGTCGGTTATATGGCATTTTTAATTGATAGAAAAAATAAGTAAGAGACATTTTTTATCTCGTGATGTGGRTTTAGCTCTGAATTAAGGCGTAATTTGCCGTTTTTCTTGATAGCTCCCTCTCTTTACTTATATCTTTTCCACTCCGCCTCCCCGCCCCCTCCCCTTCCGTTTCCCCCTTTCCCCCCTCCCCTAGAGCCGACACGCAGGCTAGGTAGGGTTACTTTTGTAGGAACTGCAACAGCAAATGTCCATGAGACGTTTTATATACCTTATTTGGTAAGCTTTTAGTCCAACAATTTTCTTTATTTTTGACAGGCTGCCAACCATTGTTCTGGAAATCAAATCACCTGGATTAATAAGAATAACAGCTTCGTTCGTTGCTCGCCGTGTCCTCCATGTCCCCCCGGACAAGCATTTTCGATACCGTGTAACACCAAAGTATTAGAGGGAACTCCTGCTAATTGTAAGAACTGTCCAAGGGGGAAGTACTCGAGACTTTTCGACACCAAACCCTGTATGCATTGCAAGATTTGCTCTAAACGCCACGTAAAGTCGAAGTGCACTTCGTATAGAAATGCAGAGTGCGGGGACTGTCTGCCCGGATACTACAAGAGTGATGTAGTGTTTGACTGTGTTGAATGTGACAAGTGCTGTTATGATGACAAAGATGTTGCACCTCCAGGATGTCAAAAGGTTGGAAAGTGTAAACCTAGATTACATGGATGTCCTTCTAGATNTCAAAAACTAGCTGTGAGGAGTGTCGTGTAGTAAAATAATATGAATGTTGAGGTAGTGAGTGTGAGTGAATATATAGAGGGCCACAAGTTTACTAGTCTAGAGACTATTACGTGCTACCCTCTCAAAATAAAAGACTTTATTTATTTATTTATTTTTGTTCACTTAGTACCTAAGCAAGAGCAATTGACCTTGAAATACAAAGGAACGTCCATCTTTATGCAATACATCGTATAATGACTTTTATCGAATTCATGCGAAAAGTCCACATGGGTTAATATGTGTGCCTTGTGCAAAAATGTTGGTTTTAGGAAAATGTGAAAGCAAAATGGAACCCCTTTTTGAAGAATCCTGCATCACTGTACTGTACTCTCCTGTTTGTTTGCTTTGTTTTCTTCTTCTTACTTTTTAATAATCGCATTTCCTTTCGTATTATAGACAGAACCCTTAGAGATTTCATGGAAAATGGCCACGACGTGTTTGAAGGTGTGTGCGTGCATTTGAACAGCCTCCGTGAAGGTAGATATGATTTTGATAGGATTGGAAAACGCTTAAATCGAGAGCTGACAAGAACACAAAGACAAAGACTCCTGAACAATGCGGGTCAAAATCCCACCAAAGATTTGTTTGAGATTCTTTGTTGTAGCAATCCAAAGTATACAGTGAAGCAGTTCGCGCAGCATGTCAAAGAAATTAGGAGAAATGATGTTTATTTGATGCTCGAGCCATTCCTTGAGATAAGCTAAGTTGTAAGTGAGCGTTAGTACCAGTGATACACATCACAGAACGCCTAGTACTCTAGTGTGTCGTATTCCTGCGATTGGAGTTTATCGTTGTTTCTATAGTACGTGRACTTAGATATGCTATGGTCCCCGAGTCCCCCTTAAAATTTAAGAGGTAAAAGTATTGTATCATAATTAGTTAAGATCGTTAGTTTGATATGATTGTATTTGTTCCTGTAATTAAGGATTCTAGTTTTCTGCTAGTATGTTTACCAAATATGTCAAAAYCAAACAAACGTCAGTGCCATACATTCACGATAACACGCAAGAGACCAGTGCACAATTGACAGAATTTTTCAGGGGCGGATCCTAAATATTTAGAAAGAGGGGGGTCGGTTCTTAAATGGTTTTGTGTCAGGTTCGGGGGCATGCTCCCCGAAAAATTTTGAAAGCATATTTTAAACCGTCAGAAATGCGATTACCAGTATTTTCAGCGGATATTGACAAGGATCCGTTTTCAAGTTCTTTCTTTTTCAACAATTAAAGGGGGGGCCGCGGCCCCTTCGACCCACCCCTGAATCCGCCCCTGTTTTTCTATCTGTTCGATCTTAGGTCATTTAGAGTTTACTATATTTGAAAATAGGATTGAATAGAGTGCAATTTAGTACTATTGTGTAGCACAATTGTGGCAAGTTAAACTTCGCAGATTGTTTAGCAATATATGTAAAAAGCATAGCAAGTGAGAACAAAATAAATGTAAATAAATACGGCAATCTAGTGGGCAAAATAACGGATCCTTTGTCTCAAGAGAACAATCATACTTTCCATCCATTTCTTCTCCGATTCTAGTCGACCATAGAAGAAACGACCTCATGGGTCGAACCGACCGTGAAGCTTGCTTTGRCCTCTATATAGATCGAGTTGTCCGCAGAATTTCATCTTTTAGGAAATAAAATGTACAATTTCAGTCAAGAAAACTGTGAGAGGATATTGCTCAAGATACAATAGCTTTCACTGTAAAGCCAGGAAAACGTATTTTACTTTAATAATAAAGTATTGTGTTGTTATGGTTTAATTTACTAATCTTTATCTGTTGTATGGTTAATAACCTTTTTCACTGATACCTTGGTCATCTTGAAAGGAATAGATATGCATTTCTATTTCTTACAGAGGCTTGTCGTAAAAAAAAACGATTAACGGAAACGTCTCGCCTCTTCGCAGCTCGATAACATAAGTAAAAAAAACAAAAGACAGGCCTCTGGAACCAGGGTATTCTATCTATTCTAGATATTTTTTTGATCAACAAACTGGACTTACCCTCCCACATGTATTAGGAGTATATCGCAATTTGTTCTAACTTTTCGCCGCTTGTTTGAGGAAAAAATTCTCTTGGGGTTTTCTAGTCTCGGAGCGACTGGGTTTCTTCGGCCCAAATTCTCTCGGAGCGTCTAGGAACGCCTTGCTAAGAATGACCACTTCCCGGCATAACAATATAGCTTGAGAACTATTAATTTTTGAATAGTGACATCGCGTTTTTAGGTGATTTTTGCGCCATAGATATGACAACGACATTTGCAATACGCCAGACACTTGATAATAGCTTTACTACAGAAAATGCAAAACTTTGAAGTACTGAGTACAATGCTATTTATAAAACCCTATGCATTTAAATAACATTAAGTTGTCGTTATATTCCCCACTGATGAAACACCGTTCAACTCCGCTTGGATAAGAACAATTACAAAGACTTCAATTAACACTTCAAAGAGAACATTTACCTTAACTTTTTTAACGATGGGATAAAAGAAAGACAGCTATAAGGTTTTTCAACAAGAATTGGACTAGTAGAAAGAAATTAAACTAGGAAATGTGAAAAAATAACAATCATGTTTCAAGAATTGTGGTGTTTGACGTCATAGCGTCCACATTTCAGCTATCTTTTTATTGATCGAATTGTATCAAAATTAAATGAGCAAAACATGCTATTCGGAAGAAAGCTGTGATTTGCAGTGTGACATGAGTGTGATGAGATGTGGAAGGGTTAGGAATACATGGTTGGAGTATGACTGGCGCTAATAATGATCCTAATTGGCATAAGAACACCCTGGTGATTTCAAAAGATAACAAAAGATGCAAATACAACAGCTCTTGGTCGAGGTGCCACTTGAGCAATGTTTGGCTCACCATTTTTACTTCCCTGTGCCTTTTTGTGATCCTGTTTTTATTCTTGTGTTTAGCAGTGCGTKAACATCTCGAAGGTAAGCTTACAGTCATTTCTAAAGATAACCTCGAGTTAAACGACTTAAACGTATTGTCGCGAATTATAAAAGTTTTTTCAAGGTGAAGCTGGTGATATTAAAAGCTTAACATTAGCATATCCATAGTGAGATGTCTTTTGGAAGGATTTACTTTAAATGTCTAAAGATTATGCTTCGAGAAATATAAATATGTTCCAAAATGATGAAATGTGCGAATCTTTTCATGAAATTGTTAGCATGGATGTGTGACAGTGGCCTTTCCATACCTTTTCAGCATTGGAAACTTAAATAAAAATAATTTTAAATCTAAATAACAACGGTGACAGCTGTTTAGCATTTATTAACGATCAAGTGCGTGAAAAAACTGGTATTACGAATTGCAAATGAGAGCAAATGTCACCGCGGCGTTCAGGGCTTTGAAACAACCTTATAGTAAGAAGGCATTTCGTTTTGTCAGTAAAAGTCTTCAAAACCGCGAGAAGCATTATAGTTCAGGTAATGAAGAGAAAGTTTTGTTTGGAAACAAAATTGGTTTGTTATGATTGTTATTTATCGCTCGTGAAAAACGAGACAGCAGCATTGACAGTTTCAGGCCGAAATGTCTGCATGATCTTCAAGTCTACGATTTCATATAAACTGGAATATTTCAATGGACTGTTAAAAGAACAAAAATACATTTATATATGATACATTTATGKAGTTTATGTAGTTTATTATCAACCAAATGCATGACTTTTTAATTTGCGACCACCTACGCTTATCGTCAATAACTTCTAAAACTTGACTAGATATGTGAGAGACTTTCTTTTTTCGACTTGCATTTCAGATATAAAATCATTATGTGGATAATATCGATGATTTTTTTTTTTCAAATAAACTGCAGGTCCTGGAATTGTATGGCCGCGTATGATGACCACCGCACAAGCCAACCAAACCACTGAAGATGAAGTCCTTTTGCCTTCAACCGAAAGAAATAGTCATTCGTGGCATTACAATACTTTGATTTTACGAGCATGGCTAGGGACTTGTCTGGCGCTTGGACTGTTGATAAGTCTGATTCTTATAATCTTAATTTGGAACTTTATTAGGAAAAAGTACCATCTTTCTTTTAAGGCTTACTTTGGAATTGAAAAACGAGAAATTYGTCAACGAGAGTCAGATCATGATTTTGAAATGCAAGTCAAAGACAGTGATGATTTTGTTCTGGAGAAACCTACTCAGTTGTAAGAAGAGCCCGTCTCTATGTTTTTCACCGATGCATCAGCTGTTTGAGTTATATTTTTTCTTGTAGAGAGTGATACACTGTATGAAGCTGAGCTTTATGCTAAATGAGATTTTCTATTTAATTTATAATCCTTTCAAAACTCAGGAGAATAACTGAAAGTAGGAAAGCGTTTTTATATAGGATCTCAAAGCGAATTCGTTTTCGGTTTTCATAGTTGTGTTTAAAAAATAGGTATTCGGCACAASGTCGCGGACAGACTGATAAGACAGTTTTGGTTTGTAGCTATGTTTGATAACATACCACATGTCAGTTTTTATTAGGTTACATTTGTAATATTAAGTAGAAAAATGCAAAAAACACATTACCAAATACAAAATAAATTAGAATCTGCAAATCGCCACATGGCATTGGTTGAAAAGAGAAATCCATTGCGAACATGGGGTGTTCATCACGTTGCCTCCATCTAATTCCCAATAATCGTTTTATCTGTATATCAAAAGTTGGATAATCTCGAGATGGCATGCTATCAGTTTAAAGATGAATATTGCTGCTCGATGTTTTTTATAGAGATAACGAATAACGAATGGAAAGCTAGGAGAATGCTTTGGTTAAAACCTTGGTCGTTTATCGTAGTATCGGTTAATATGACAAACTTTATACATGGAAAAAATAAGATGATACCATACCACATAGTTAGAGTTTAATGATGTTTTTAATTTGAATGAAATCTAATTGCAGGTTTTTACACGTTTGTTCTCTTTCATATAATCATTCTTTTTAATTCCGGTCTCTCGCAATTACCAATTCATTTACGACCGCATACATAAAACATGACTGCTGGTCCCTGAARTGAGGCATACATAGCTTGCGTGGCGGCTGAATGGATTCACCAGTCCTCGTTTTTATTTCTCGTCCCTAGAAACACCACCCGGGTTGATAAGCACATGAGACACCTTCCTCAATTGTTCTCAAAGTGGGAATTTTACTTCAGTGCCTGAAGGAGGAAATATAAAGGGAAGCTAGTATGTTTGTTTTAATTTATTCCCGGGGGAAGAGGGGGACTTCCTCGTATTTGGACGTGGATGATCGTCAGAAATCCTAAAAAATAKCCCTAAAAGATACCATACGAACGGCGTGAAAACAACATTTTCAGCCCTTAAAGATACCAACTAAAAATGTACAAATTCATTTAAACACTTTTGGCAATTCTAGTGACCTCAACATCGAATTCTTTTTTCAACCTTTTAAAAGTTAAAAGTTTCTAAAAGAATTTTCATAAATTCTCTGATCTATCAATGTCATAAACAGTAACAAATAATATGTAGACGACGATCGTCCCCTCCCCTCCCCTCCCCTCCCCCGGAACCTGTAAGCGTACAAATAATGAAGACTTTATCATATCATTTTAATTGCATTTATAATCTTATTACATGTACCGCAAGTATGCATGCATATTCTCTTTATAGAAATATAAACTATTTAAATAGGTATTTTAGTTTCCGCCATACATTTGTACTGACATAATTTGTCATAATTTTCTGGAGTATCTATATTGGCTATTCATATACACAAAAGCACCAATAACGTCATGCAAAGTTCAATGCACACTACGCTATGCCAGTTTAGGGCTTTAGTATAGAACAAGGACGTGCATAGGGGGTTCAATCAGGGGGAGTCTTTTTTTTGGGTTCAAGACTATGAAGAACTCTAGCGACTGCATAATTGTATTAATTGTGAATTCAAACCGAATACAGCTGTACGATCCAAAAATGTGTTATTACTAATTTGGCAAATAAAGTCTCATATTTTAAAGACTTGGACTGCCAAGGAAGGAGGGTTCTAGAAACCCCTATGCACACCTCTAACCGTCTTGCAACCAACAAATACAACAAGGTTACCTGTGGCTATACAACACAGGAAGACCAACATGTGCTGTGGTTCATCGAATAGAAAGTCTTTTCGCACGATTACTCGTTGATTTAATCATCAATCCGTTCATCAAAAGGTCATTGTATAATTTCCATGTGTCTAGTTTGAGTCTACGGAGAGCAAATCTAAAATCCTTGTCCATCGGGTTAAGRTTGGTTTTGATTTCATTTTCATATTGGTCCATCTCGTAATGTTCAGTGTTACGATTCTGCCACATGTGGGAAACTCTCGTGTCTCCGTGATATGACACCGGTCTGCTCATGCGCTTGGGACCYTGACGTAACCGAACATCGCCATTCTGATTGGAAAATGAGTTTTCTTGATTCAGTAAAGGGTAAGAAGCTCTGCGACCGAGAGAAAACTCATCGTACAATGGCACGCTACATGTTGTGCGCTGCTCGATATCATCTTCGTCCCACACATCGTCGTCTTCTCTTATGTCAAGCTTACTTGACGCAAGAAGCTGATCTCTTGTTTCGTAAAGTTCATCGCGAGTTTCAAAGAGTTCATCGTGCAAGTTTCGATTTTCAGATTCCAACWTSATGATTTCATACTCTGCTTCTTCRCGTTTGTTTATCTCTTCCTCGAGCTGAGCCTGGAGCGTAGAAACTTTTTCCGCCAATACCAAAACACCTGTTGCTTGGTCGTCTTCAGTGAATGAATTTCGATTACTCGAAAACTCTTTGATTTGAGCCCCGCTATCAATACTTGGCCATTTATTCACATGACCCCCATCTGTGCGCAGATGAAACGAYCCTCGTTCTGGTAAACAAAGATCTGCTACAGAAGCTGCCTTCCATGGCAAACTGTCCTTCAATGATTTACTGAACCTCACGTCTTCAAGACTTTTGAAATGGCGAAGAATTTGTTGTTGACTTTCGACAAGTTCGTCGGTTCTTCGCTCAGCTGCTTCACGCCGCTTCTTCTCTTCATCCAGTTCTTTAAGTAAAWAAGTTACATCACAGCTATCATACCCACTGAAAGAGCTATCAAAGTCACTAAATATTGCTGAAGTACGATTGCTTTTTACTTCTTCCAGTTGTCGTTTTGTATCTTCGTGATTCTTGCGTTCTTTTAGTAATTCAAGTTTAAGAATTTGAACTTCATTTAATTGGTCTTTGAGGCTTTCCAACAATACGCGAATATCTGTTAGAAATGAAGGATGAATTTTGTTAGCTAAATCATTATATACTTCAATTAAATGGAAAAGAGCATAGATCTTCCAGACCTTCATATTTTMAGCTACAAATCATATTTAGCATAGTTAGCACGGCAAATGGGGGAGGGTGGGTGGGGGACTAAAGTTGCTCCTTATTTTGATAACCCTTTCTCTATCCATGTCCTTTATAGTCTAGTGGGGTGCCGACCAGCGTGATGCTCATCAAATGACTGTACTCAAACAATTCATGATATCCAAACAAAACATCCAATGGTTTGTGACGCGACCGCGCTAATGATAAGCTCTCGCAAAGAACGCTGTGTAAATGATAAAATAAGTACGAAGTTTGAGATAATCAAACTGATAGAACCATAAATTTTTCGCGACACTACCGAGCCGAAGAGCCTTCTTCTGGGATGCATGGAAATAGTAGGGGGGAAAACTGGATATTTTTTCATGAAATAGTTTACAAGCCTCTTAAAACATAACGTTTCTGTTTACTATCAACTGTATCAAGCAGGGATCTGTTCATACGCATCAATAATACTATAAGAGCACACAGGAAGGGCGTTTTGAAAACATGGGTTCTTAATATGACTACGATTCCGACAGAAATGAACATTACAAAATTKGAATATTCAATTTAGAAATACCAAGGGATTGTTTTAATGAATTAATCTCAGTTCAATGGTTTTGTTTAGATTGTCTACCGGCAAAATGTTTTTGATTTATATTCAAGTTACATTATTCATATCACAATGTTGATATACTCCAGAATAATAACAGATGAATATTTTTTGGAATAACTCGATCATTGAGCGTTAATATTGTACATACTATGAATATATATTGCTGTTTTTATAGAAAAATGTCTGGACAAAAAACCCTCGAAAACAAATATTTCAAAATAAACCGATAGAAGGCTGTGCACATATTTTTTTAGACTTATGCCAATATGTCGTCAAAGATCATTCATCATTTCAGCGAAAACCAATTTGAAAATCTGTCGTTCTAAAATGCGGATATTAAAACACTTTGAGGTTCAATCAAGCATGAGGCAAACCTTTAGATATTAAAAAGAACACTAGTTGATTGAGAATCKAWWWRGGCAAACATAGAAAACGTTTKTAGACGCCAGAAATGTATGCTCACCGTTTTCAACAAAGAATTCATCTTCGAGGATTTCTCTCGCTAAAAAATCCTGACTTTCGCTGGAGAGAAGCCCTTGAACGAGATACTTCATGCCTTGATCATGGTTCCGTAAGCTTTCAAGAAGCCATTGTGCTTGTTTTGATCGATCTTCACCTTCAAAGATCCATTCCTTCAGCACAGCTTCGATATCCTCGCTACGAATAGCACCTAGTATGCCAAGTCGCTCAAGGAGGTCTTTAGGTTCGAGATTCTCTGAGAGTCGTTTGTAGTATCGATGGAGAATGTCTTGTTCTTGGGGTTCCATGTGTGTGGCGATGATCTGACTCTATGGTTTCCCCTTGTCTTCCATATATCCTTTATACAAGGGTCATGGACGACTTTGTTTTGATTGTGCGACAGTTTCTGAGTACACAGTGTACTAATGATTGCGTCGGCGTGCTTGATAAGCCGTCACAAAGATCACATGTTGATCAGTCTACTCCCTGAAACAATAATAAAACAAATTGTGCACGTTTTCTTGATCTACCTACATGGATGAGTTCATTTTCAAGTAGGGTATTTCAAACAAACGTAAAAATGCTTCGAAAGGAATAGTGATGCGCTTATGCAGGATATACACAATCGCGAAAGAACGGAGCGTTAATGCAGAAAAACAGAGATCACGTGATAAGTTTTGACGTTTGACGTTCGCCGTAAACGTGTCTAAAACTCATAGTTTATAGACTCTACTAACTATGATACGGAATGCGTTGCGTTACAAACGTAGGACGGGGAAGTCCCCACATCTTGGATATCAATAAATCTAATTTTGTTTTCGATTTCCATAATTTTCCATTTGCACAAAGTTACCAAACTCAAAACACATGAAATAGAATAACGCGTTACGTATCATTTGTTTTTTTCATCGGAGAAACCATGAACTTTTTCTAAGACTACCCAAAGGGTCCCCAAAGTGTGTTTGGATCAACGCGACATTCAATGCGACAAACTTAATTATTCATGTACAGACCCACAGGTATCCCAAGTTCAGCAAGAGATGACTCTTCACAGAAAATCATTTTCCATAGTGGTAATAATCATATTTCTTAATCGAAAACCATTTATAGTTTTATTTTGTTTTAAGGATCATTAATTCTATATCAGTAAAACTGTAAGAATTCGCATGAGATGACACAGGAGGCCCGTGACCAATTTTGCCGTGAATCATGGGATATGGGAAAACCCCTTGTCTATGACACTGAGAGATCGATAGAGAAAACTTATGAAAAGGCTTCTCTATACTGGAAAACCTCGTTTAAACTAGAGACTGTAGAACTGACTCGTTGGAGAAACAACAAGAGGGACACGTGAGTATTTCAATGAATTGATTTTCACTCCGAAGTGAATTAGTATCTGTCTGGTACGTGTTGTTGTTTACGATTGGAATGCGGAAAATGATTATATCGGTACTTTTATGATTTAGTTCATCTTTCGAGTGTATATGTAATTGTAATCATTGTATAAGATTAATGGATGTAGTAACGTACAAGTGAGTCTATTTTGGCCCGATATTATGATATATTTATACCAGTATATCCGGCTTCAATGCAAAGTTTTCATAGTGCAACTATATGTGACTATATATGATACGTGTGACAGTCTCTTGATGTCTTGATCCTTGAATTTTAAATAATTGGCGCAGATTCACACAGTCTCACAGGATTGTCCACACTTACAAGGCAAATCGCTCACAAATCGCTCAAAAAAACGCTAAAATAATGGCTAACAAATTCAGTCTATATTCCAGACATTCCAGATATTCTTTCGGATATGGCATAGTATATAATATTCACATCTCTGATTTCGTATTCGGATGTTTCACTCGAAATATGTCCCATATATTATCATTAGAGCACCTAAAAGTCGTCGTCTGAACGAAAAATTGGGAAGACGTAATAGTTCACTGAGAAATGGGTCGAAATGGCAAGAATTATGAACATAGATAAACATATCATGATCAAAATAGAAGAGCCCGGGAGAAGAGATATTGGTGGTCGACTAATGTTATAATAATCAGCGATAGAACTTTTACAGACACTCAATAACTTCAATTTAGCCTGGTATATAACATTATTTTTTGCATTAGAGATCGCCTCTCTGATCAGCCTCTTGGCTCGTACGTGCAGGTACGAATGGCCTGGCGTAGTGACAGCACTGCGGGACGCTTACAAATTGAGATCGACAAATTTCCCTAAAATTCATAGAAAAAATCAAGAACAACAACACATAGACGAGAAAACCATCGAAGATAATACCGAAGAGGATTAATTCAAATGACATTTTCAATATTTTGCTTAAGCCAACTGATGAGTAATTCACATAAAATAGCATCGATTTGCATGGACGATTTTATCGCTACTGAAAAATGAAAATGCATAGGAATCATATTTACGGTCCTTTTTTTTAGAGTATAAGAGAGATATGGCTGTTTTTATGCAATAGCGATCAAAGTGCCCGTTTGTTTGCTGAACGTGACGTAATTTGAGTATACTTATAATTTATCTTTTTTTTTCAGACTTGGAATGGCTAACAAAAAGCAAATCAGGAAGGTACTAAGACTTATTGATTAATTCAAATATTATTTTAACATCTTGGCATCCTTGAAACTGAAATCCTCCAACATCTTTTCTGGATGCCGTGGGAAAGGTAATGGAGACCTGGGGCAGGCTATAGGTATCTCAAATAAAAAATAAGAGGCATGAGACACTTTTAAAGGACTCGGACGGATTTCGACGGTCGGACTTTCCCAAAATGACCCTAAAGTGCGAAGGAGGTTCAAGCAATGGCAATCACATCTCCCAGTTAATCTCAGTATTTTGTTTTGTAGCTTGCAGGGAGAGTTTTGTGTGCTGCTAATGAAATAGCCGTGTGGAAGAAAAATACCAACAATACCGTATGTCAAGTTTGTCCAAAATGCCGAAGAGCGCATGGTCTAAACCATGCATGTGGAACTGTTTTGAAGACAAAAGATTTAACCAGTCCTATTAGATGCGAGAGGTAATTTATTTTAAAGCAATTTCACCGTAATGCTCCGCAAACTTAATCAGAGCATGTATTATATGTGTATTAAATTTGGCAAACTAAAATGTTTGCGATATGTTTTGAAAACCAACCTCACGGCATGGCATCCATCTAACGCACTTGGATGTTTGGGTGAAAACTCTTTGAGACAAACATCAAAAGTCATGTGAAAATAAATATTTCCAATACACGATGGTGTATTTTGTATAGATCTACACTGGCTTATCATATAATTTCTTTTTTTAATTTTTTAAAATAATAGTAATAATAAGAACAGTTTTTATTAATAAAATAAATAAACCTATTTGTAATAATTTTAGTTAAATAAAAATTGCCTTTATTAATAATTATAATTATAATATCAATATAGCGCAAGTATCGCAAGTTCTATCCTGCGAACAGAGTGTTATTTACCTTACCTGGTAAGGTAAATAACACTCTGTTCGCAGGGTACGCAAGTTCATATGCGGATTTAAGATTTAAAAACCTGATAGTTTCTTTATATCACAAAGGGTGAATATTGAATAGTGCTATCCAGAGTGAACAATTATGGATTGGATAACTTTACTAACTCTTTGTTTAAAAAAGACAATTCCTAAGTTATTGGCATGTATGATTTTATTTCTTGAATATCTATTCGCAACAGATGCATCAAAGGTCGCACATATTCTCCCAAAAAATCAACCGACATGTGTAAGCTCTGTACAATTTGCCAGGAAAATCGTGAAGTTGAAAGACGTTGCACACGCCGAAATGATACCATTTGTGGTAAATGCAAGAAAAAGCATTATGAGGAAAGACATGACTTTGGATTTAACTCATGTGAGAAATGTTCTCAGTGCTGTGGAGATGGCAAAGATAAAATAGAACAGCAATGCGTCGACCAAGGCTTACCAAGTGATAAGGTTTGCAGTTATTTGGATGCTGAGCGTTGTAAGAAACACAAAGATCCAAGCGTAAAAATATCGACGACTCCATCGAAATTGCCAGGTTTAACGTCACCAATGCCAATTTTGCTACGTTTACAACCTAATACGTCTGAAACGACAAGCACTTACAGATCCCCGCAGCAATATATTATCAATAATAATAATGTCAACAATAACAATGTCAACACTGGCCCGAACACCCTCGGACTTAAAGCCGGCATCAGTAGTGTGGGTTTGGTATTGTTATTGTCATTGGTTGCTGCTTGCCTTTACAAAAAATGGAGACGTAAAAGACGGAAAAGCCACAGTGGAATACAATCTCCCGGTAACGATTCGGAAGCCCCTGATCCTCAGACAATACCGCTGCGGCATTTAGGTAAATAGTTTCTGTATTCATTTGTCTGCTGTGGACTGGGTTTGCTATGCTCATATTATAACTGACATGTTAGTCGAGAGGAGGCACTCCGTACAAAAAAATTCCGTAGATGCTAAAATCCCGCAAGTCTTGAAAAAAGGGCGTGGCTGCCTGATTTTTTACCGTTAAGAGATTGCACACAGATAATGTTGAATTAAATCAATTTTTATAATAAAATGTATGAAATGTTTACAACCAATGGCAAAAACGTTGTCACAGAAAAAATATAGTGAACTAGTAATGGAATAAATTAAAAATCAAAAAAATGTATTCCTTTTAAACTAGAGTGCAAGGTTTTGTAAAACATCTTCAAATATTTTCAGTGATTATATAGTTCCCTCCCCCCCTCCCCCGGGGATATTCTCCTGAAGATAGCAGCTTGTATATTTTGTGCCCTATCAGTATTCGCTATACTTCAATCGTCTTTATTTTGCCTTGTAGATGAGTCAGCCAAGGTAACATCGTACCTGGATGACCCAGAAACATATCGCACCAATGGACCTTACGAACAAATCTGCGATCATCTCAACAAACTCAAGTACAAAGACTTCGAGGCAGTCTGCATCCGCTTGCGTATTCAACGTCGAAAGGTACGTAACTTCTATCCCCACGAAGGAATAGGAAAGTTTGAGGAGGTCCTTACGACTTTATCGTCTGAAAATACTAAAGTGACCCTTAAAGACATCGCCCGGGCTTGCGAAAGGCACCAGTGTGTGGTCGATCTGCTGAGATCAGAAGACAGACGTCTTCGAAATACACAGCGGATTATCGATGAGGAAACGGTAGTAGAATAAACTAACTCACTCAATAATTAATACTTGTGACAAATCCTTAAACGTAATCTTTAGTGCTAGCCTATTGCCATGAGTTTTGCCAGTGAATAATAGAGTTCATTGCAATACCACAACGCATTGTTTTTTATAAACTCCAACGATAGCTGTGTTACAAAATTACAATTCTGAACTTTTCAAATTGCTTTCCATTGAAGTTCTTAACTGAACGGAGCTGATATAGTCACTCCATGAAAACGTTTTTTCACGGCGATAAAACGAGCAGCAATGCATTGTGGTCTTGTAATACACTGTCTTTAGTATTCAACGTTTTCTGCACTGTTGACCTTATCCTCTGTAGTGGCTCCAGAGAGACGAGATGGACGGCTTACCTCTCGAGATGTCGCTGGAAAAAAACTTCAAATACCATCGAACGTATTGATGGTTTGAGAGCGTGTTAAAAATGCTTTTTATGCCTTGCCTCTGGAAAGAGAATTACGGTCTTTTCAGTCCAAGGTTTACGAGATCTGTCATTCAAGCGTGTGAATGACAGATAGAAAGATAACTAGTAGATAAACTACAGTCTGCCACCGGTTTATTCTGTTGGTCAAAACTATTCCTTCTTCGAAAAGAAAGTAGAACAATAAGAGTTATCAACCAGACCAAATCAACAAGAAAAACCGGAATTAAAAACTTGTGGCTAAGGTCGTGATATCTAGTAGTTATCTTGTCAGTTAATGCTCTTATATGCTCTATAGCATCATCAATCAACTGACAACTTACTCTTACTCATTCAATAATGTTATCTTTATTTTACGATAAAAATGTTTGGACGATAGCAGTCTGTAGGTGCGCATGCGCATTTGTTAGAAATAACCGCCTTCACTTTTTTCACATTTTCGTATTTCATCAATATAAGGAGCTATCAGAGCATTAACGAGATGATCGAGTAGAGAGATATAGACTGGTCGCCTTGAGTGGGCTGACAAACAATAAAAACGGGATCGGGGTGGGATCCAAATAGTCTATAGTCAGTGCATGTTCACTTGTATTGAAACTTTTGATGCAAATCATGTCTTAARTCCCGCTTCCCTATCCTTCTTAAGGTTTATTTCACAATAACTATTTCCAAAGGAAATCGTCTTTTTTCAACCTTTCTTTTCTCGTCATTTGCCATAAAAAAACATCGCGTTCCCTCGTGCAAGTATCTCTCGGTATACTTTCTTCAATTCAACTCAGTTTCGTTGTGGAAGAACTAATAAAAGCTACGGACAGGGWAACGGGTCATAAGACATGACTTTCATCATTGTTTTCAGTTCGTAAGGCTCTCTTAGYTTTTCTTGGTATCAACTTGTGTTGTCAATATTGTGAAACAAACATCACCAACAATTTGAATTTTTGCTAAAACAAAGTACAGTTTTTAAGATTTTGTTTTTACCAAAACCTTCACGTTTTTGCCTTATTTTTATGACCAAGGAAAAATTCATAACAATTTATGAATTATCTTGACTGTAGCAATATTAAACTGCAAGTTGATACTATTGACTGTATATATACTGTTTGATAGCCCTCTTTTGATAATCTAGTTCAGAAGCGATGAGASATAAATCAATCAATGAAGACTGACGAGGCTCCAGTGYAAATGATGATATATTCGTGATCTTGATAAGCCTTTTCTTCAAATGTGCCCTGTCGCTTGAACCAGAATATCTATGGGGGGTGTAACAAAAAACAACAGGGCGGATCCATYTAGTTGGTGAGATACAACKTCCTCTTGAGAGTGACATTGTCCTCTTTGATACACTTTACCTAAWTTATTTTTGTTGGCTTTTGGACCATTTTATGGTGTGCACCCGGCTCTCCTAAAGTACCTCTCCATGAATAATATCTAATCTTGGATCTACCCCTGAACACTTTTTAAATTTGTTTTTTAATCCGTTTTTGTAGAATCACAAGCTTCCATTGCCTTCTTGTAAGTAAAACATTTCCTAACAAACAATTTGGCGTCGTTTTTATAACTTTTCTGAATTTTTTAATGTAATTGACTTGTCGTACAGTGAATTTCAAAATAGTGAGATAAATCTGACRGATCGCAGCCCATGGTGCAACGCGAAAGAAAAGACCGAATTGTTTGTCGGGGAAACGTCTTTGCTACAAGTAGCAAACCAAATGTAGATAGGATTTCTAGATTTTATAGAATATTTTTCTAGGTGAAAAGATATATTTTCATCTGAAATAACTTTTTAATGGTAATCATTTGCTGTATTATAGTTATTATATTATTAGTTATTATTAGATTAATATTAATATATCAAACTATCAATTAACGTATTTGATCAGCATTTATCAAGCATTATACTATAGCTGTAGATAAATTTACAATCAATGTTTTATAGAGAGAGCCTTACCGTATATCTATCTAGATATTGTGATATGATCACAATAAATCCAATTTTTAATAATTATTTCTACTAGTGACAAGTAGATTATCTCTAGAGCTATTCTTGGAAGACTGTTAGAGTTCATTCAGGAATATAATAAGTGCACTCAACTCTTTCAGAAATGACAAAATTGTCAATTTGACGATTGCATGGAACCTTTTTGKTCCCGCAATTTCCTGCATGGAATTTGAATTCAAAATCTGACAAACAAATGGAATTGAATCCCAGACGCAAKCCAAACTCAGCTTTTTACTGAGAATAGCTGTTAGAACAAAAACTTTTGAAACAAATTACAAAAAAAAAATATAAAAAAATGAAAATATATWAAAAAAAATTTGCATCAAAYACAATTACAGCACAACATAATATGGAAGCTTGTATAGACCAAAATAAAATATGAATCATCACAAATTGTTGCATGSTTATTAGAGCAAAACAGATCTCAGCATTATCAAAGGGTTATTACATCGATCTTACCATTTGGGGGATGATTAGATTTATATTCCTCAAGTGTACGTTTTTTAAGTGCTGGGATTGAGGAGTAAGTTTGCTTTTCTTTGTAGTATATTAGATATGTAAACGCGCATATAAAACCAAAGCAGGCTACGCTCAGGCAGCCTATCACTATTATGTATTGGATATTGTCCGGAATCCCCTGCACCGTTTGCTCAGCCCTGTTCGATGGTGCTGTGTTATCATGAGCAAATGGGGGAGTTGGACATGCATGGGATGTCTCTTTCATAATCCTTTTTGTCGTGTTTGTGAATGCTGTGGGGACGACGTCTTCCTCTGTTTTCACCTGGACTATTGCATTCGTAGATCTAGAAGGACATCCATGTAATCTAGGTTTACACTTTCCAACCTTTTGACATCCTGGAGGTGCAACATCTTTGTCATCATAACAGCACTTGTCACATTCAACACAGACAAACACTACATCACTCTTGTAGTATCCGGGCAGACATTCCCCGCACTCTGCATTTCTATACGAAGTACACATCGATTTTACGTGGCGTTTTTGGCAAATCTTGCAATGCATACAGGGTTTGGTGTCGAAAAGTGTCGAGTACTTCCCCCTTGGACAGTTCTTACAACTAACAGGAGTTCCCTCTAATACTTTGGTTTTACACGGTATCGAAAATTCTTGTCCGGGGGGACATGGGGGGCACGGCGAGCAACGAACGAAACTGTTATTCTTATTGATCCAGGTGATTTGATTTCCAGAACAATGGTTGGCGGTCTGCAGAAAACAAAGAAAATTGTTGGACAAAAAGCTTACCAAATATTGTACATATAACGTGTCAGAGATATTTGCTGTTGCAGTTCCTACAAAAGTAACCCTACCAAGCAATACTCAAACAGACCTTCACACCACGATGAACAACCCCATCGGAGACGTATATGTTATAGGTTTATTTATTTCCACGACACGCTCTCGTGAGAGATCTTTTCAACACTCGAAGATAAAATCCATATCTCCGCMCGCCCATGTAATATCCTCTATGTAATTGTTGGAAAATAGCATTTTTTCAATTCTCACATATAACGATTGATGATTTTCAACCAAACACGATCGTAAACATTATCAGAAGTACATAACCAGAAGTGGTTATGACAATATCAATTCCAACTCTAGTTGACGTCACTTTTATTTTAATTTCTACTTTTCAAATCTCTAGAACGGCAAATTAAAATACAATWCAAATCTTTTTTTCTTCCTTCTACAGTGCTTAGCAGCATTTTTCATTTCAGAATAATYCTAGTAGTATCAATTTCCTAAAAGGCACTGGTCATGTGCAAGCGCGCGCTTCACATGTGACTCTTTAATTCAAGACTAATCAATCATCGACTTACTGCCTCGTGAAACACTACTTCAAAAAGAGTACAACAGGACGTTGTAAATGAATTTCTTGTTGTTCTATTTTCTAATCTACGCTATATTTCTGCTATTTAGCATCTTTTTGAGCACATATTAGCGCTTTTAKTGTTTGTAGTCTTTGCGATGAGTTAAGGTCACAAATCAAAGTAAATTTACTAGGACTTTCTTGTTACTCATGTGTTACTGGATCGACTGGATATGTTATCGGATATTTCTATTTGATTGAATGCAATTAACGCTCTATTCAATTTGTTCTTACTGAAATGAATTAAAGCACTCTATTAATCTAAATGATCTCACACCTTCCTGCTAAGGGTTGTATTACTCGCCAAACAAAGTATATCTATCAATAACCGTGTTTAAATGCGCGAAACTRACRGAAAACGTGCAAAATTAAGASAWAAAAGTGTATTTCACAGGTTAATGACAACCAKTARACTCTTTATTTACGGCCAAAGKTGAAAAAATAACTGTTTTGAAATTAGCGTTTTAAACTACATTGTTTCAGTACTGRGACTAAACATTRAGTGCGKRTCAGTCCTTGATTTTTTTTTCAGTGCGTATACTCACCACTGCTTCCGTAAAAAGCCACAAAAGCGATATCCAGTTCACCATATATAGTYCTTTACACATCYTTGCAATAAAACTTGGCAGTAACTAGATCATATGTTCGTCGACTTTTGGTACTGTGCAAGCAACATTCAAAGTCTAGATTTCTCCTTGGACTTTGACAAATTGAGTTGTAAGCAGTGCCGGACGAGAAAAACAACAACAACAAACAAACCATTGAATAATAACGATTCAAACACTGCAAATGCATCTGAAGAATTTAATCGAGTCAAGAAAAAATYCTATTACAATACAGCATCCAGCTTTATTTGGGTTTTATTTGTTACAAAGAACATTTAAGTTAATAAACAAACAGTTCACTTTTTCTGCTCAGAGAGGGGGGAGGGCTACAGCACCCCTTTGCCCCTCCATGAATCCGCCCTTGTATTATTCATACTGTAGAGTGAGTAGATATCTGTTAAATTAAATGCCTCTGTACTAAGACAATAAAGAATAAAACATGGTGGTCTGATGACACCATGAATGACTGGGATACTCAGCTACGCGTTTGGTGCAATTCGGACGATTGTCAGGACGATTGTATGAAAACAAAGTGACAGGGACCGGTGATATCATGAATCATTCAACTAAACGGGGATAAATAATGATTAACGAACTCATAATAATGTCCGTATTCTTCGGCCGTCTTGATGGTCTCTGTTATTTAATGTACCATAATGAATACCGTGATACATGTGATATTGTTCAGTATTCCGTTAGGATTCTTGCCGTGGTTCARTTTTAGTCCACAATGCATTACGAGTCAGTAAAATGATTCAACCTAGAATAAAGTAAACCAAATCAATGTTACTCACAAAATTATCCACTAATCACTAATCTTTTTCGGACAGTCTGTTGCTTTTTACATAATACTAGCGATGTTTCGMCATACTTACCTGAAGAGCATTGCCTTTCCTTTATCATTACCAATGGACAGAAAACCACTGTTTGGTGAAAAATCAAATGCTTGAACGTATCTTAATGGGGTCTTTGAGGTTGGCCAGTTTGAGAACACTGTGAAKGATGGTAAGTGGACCTAAAAACAACACCAAATGAAATAGTTAACTGTTCAAATTGACTTTATGAAAGAACAGCACACTATCTTTACTTACTAGTTTAAAKGAATCCTTTTTAAACTTTGATGAAATGCCTAACAATTCACTGAAATAAAAAGAACTTTTTTAATGAATTAAACTGAATGTGCACTGCAAAAAAGCTGTTCTGGTCATAGRATAAAACAGACTCCTATAACTTGGATCACTTTAAAGTCCATRTAGTCAGCCTGAGGGAGAGCTTGAAATAAATGTATGTATAAAAGGCATTTACCACTTGAAAAAATTCAAAATACTTTACCTGGTGGAGTTGAAAGTAGTACCATCTATTGATGTTGTCAGATTGGAAATGGTTTTCAGGGGTTTTGGATGTGACTTGGTATAACACTGATCATCATAAATGTTCACAATTCCACTATCAGATCTATAATATGCAAGGAAAGTCAACAAAGAAACACAATATGAATATTACATGTCAAACAATACATAGATTTAGGAAATATAAAACGGCACGCGTGTCTTTGTCCTCTGATATAAACACGGTGGGAGTTCGAAAAACACGAGAAGCAAGCTTAGGAACACGAGCGTAGCGAGTGTTTCTCTTGCTTCTCAAGTGTTTTTCAACTGCCACCGTGTTTATATCAGAGGACGTCAGCCAATCAAAACGCGCGTTATATATCAAAAATTTTATAAAGTGTCCTATAATATTAGTGTAACAGGTATAAACACAAATATGGAAAGACTAGAAAAAACACCAGGTCTGGCTACCTACCCACAGGCCAGGTATTGACCATTACTGGATGCTGCTATGGTAGTACCATTGAGACAACCTTCATCTGTAAACTTGTGTAAACATGTCCGTGAATTGATATCCCATATATAAACTTCTCCATCACCTTACAAAAAGCACATTGTCARATTAAAGGAGGTAGCCTGCCTGCTGATGCATATCCCATACTAATATCCACAAAACGGGCTATCACAAATCAAACAATCTGATTGTCTACTGAACTATGGTCTATTCAGGGCAGACCATGAATGAAGTGAAAATAGTCGATAAAATGTTGAGAAAAAAATCTGATATTCGTCATTGCCTTTTGTCAAATTTACCCTATAGTTGGGTGAATCCTAAAACAATATTAATCCATTCATGCCTGATTCAGCCTAATTGTCAAATATCTTTGATTTAAATTGACAGGTAGCAAACCCAAGTGTGATTATGTAATACCTCTTGTTTGATTTCCAGTATCAATAAATGTCAGTTAGCGCGCAGGTAAGTAAAGATGTCAGTTATGGTATTACTTCATATAATTCATACTTARTGCCAGTACTGTACAGCTTTGAACCATCAGCAGAAAATGAGACTGCATCTACTTTGRCATTCATTTTAAGATTTCCAATCCATTGTTTTGACTAAAATATACAATAAACAAAAATATCAACTTAGGATGTACATCTAAATGAACAAACATTGCCTAAGAAATTTAGCAATTTCAGAATTTATAATCAAATAATTATAAAAGAAAGCATTCAGATTGAGTGATCTTGTGTCTTATTCCTATGTCAATAAATATCTAAATCTCTACAAAACAATATGCGTAAATAGGTATATACTCTGTTGAATGTACTATTAATACATACCTTACTAGACACTAATATTATATAACCATTATCACCAAGAAACACAATATGCCTCCCATCTGGAGATACTTCACACTTTTCAAACTTCTTTTCATTTCTGCCTAAAATCAAAGATCACATACATTGAGATACATACAATTTGATTATATTATTTGTGTGTTAGATATACATTCATAATGTGTGTCATTCTATTATGAAAATGAGATTATAAAGTAAGTYTTTTTGGTGACTTTTTGCCACTTTCATAATGCCTTGTCCAAATGTTGAACAAATCTTTCTTTTTAGGTCCTGTTCAGTAGTTATACATTGTTCATATTAGTTACCTCTAATTCCTGGGATTTTTATCACTTGGCCTTTCATCATGTCATAAACATAGAACCACTTTTTTCTTGATGTCATTATTACTTGTTCACCATCAGCAGTGAAATGTGCATTATAAATTGGGAAATGATTGATAAACACACTTTGTAGTTTGGGGTTGTTTTGACCATCAATCTGATGTAATACAAAATAATGCACTGTTTCCAAAAAACAAAACAAAACAAAAAACACAAAAAAAACTTTTAGTAAATTGAAAATCACAACTACACTTACTTGGAAAAGATCTAATGTCTTGTTAAAACCAGCAGTCAATGCAACTTTAGCACTGGGATGAAACTCAACACATTGTATACCAGCCTGTTATAGAAAATTCAGAATGACTGTGTTTTACTGTAAACACTGCCCAAAAAGACATGTGGACTACAAGGAAAGCAACASTTAGAAGCACACAAGATAAGAGAAATTTTCTTCTTTCTTGAGTTCTCTCTAAACTCTACAGTGTATTTCAGAGACAGAAACATCAGTAGACATATCATTTTTATGCAGTAAGTCATGTTTTGAAGAGCTCTGAAGCCAAAAGAGTGTGTTTAATGTTGTCCTAGGATAGCCAGACGATCACCTTCTGTGTTGTAAGGGTTGCCTGAGTAACCACAGACTGGAGTCTAATAAAGTGTCTTTGTGCCAACATGGCATGTTATGTATAGATTATAAGAGAATGTTAAACATTCCCTTACTCACATTTGATGGCTTTTCACTGTTTGTATCTTTGACTCTTTTAATGTTCAAAATACCCTTAGGAAGGTCATCAGATTTTGCTGATAAATAATTTCCTGTTCTCTGAAGCATTTCATCTTCTTCATCATCGCTTCCTGTTAAATTCAGACAAAATCAAATCCATCACACTGCTGTCACTATTCAAAATTATAAGAAAGATACAATGTTTAATCACCTTGACYTTTCCTCTTGTCAAGACTTGCCCAGCTACCATCTCCATAAATCTTTTCAAACCTAGATTGATTTCAATAGTGCATGGGTATCTAAATATCATTGTATGATTATAAACATATTATTATCTTACTGCCTCCTCAGTTTCTTGGTATATTGATGGCCACTGACAACTGTTTCATCTTCAGTATCTCTTAGTTTTTTGAGTTTTGATTCTGCAGTGATGTCCACTCTAAAAACCAAATGTYYAAAAAATACAATATGCAATCTGTAATTGAGTGGACTGCTGTTACTACACGATTACCTTACAGACATCTTGAATACATGAGTAAACAAAATGAAAAGATAATTCAGCAAACCTTTCAAATTCATCATCGTCATCAATCCATTTAGGTTGTCTACGTTGAGAATCTATCGTTCCCTCTCCATTCGTGTTGTCTTCAATGTCTTCATCTGCATCCTGTTATGTGTTGACAACCATTTTCAGATCACAGTGAACTTACAGTACATGCCTGGCACGGTAATCTTTTATCTAACTCGGGTCTTTTAATTCAGTGTTAATCATTAATTACCTCTTTTGGATCATTATAACTATCTTTCTTTTCTGATGTAAAAATATCAAGACTGCTGGCGTCTCCAAACAACAACTTTTCTAAGTGACTTTCCACATCAGCCCCATCATCGATTATAGCCCTCTTCTTTTTCGAATCCTCGGCGGCTCCTGACTCGTTTGTTTCGACAGTTCGTTTGGCTCTTCTTCTAAGCATCCTAACCAAGTAGAGTTTTATTAAACGTTGTTAAACACTACTTCAAGTTCATTATTTTTAGTTGAATTTCAAACACGTGCAAACAACTCAGCGGATTCTCAAAAAAAAACATACCACAGGAAGTCCGTCTATTTGATTAAAAACAAAAACAAGATGGCGGACGTATCTGGAGCTGGTATCTCCTCCTATAAATCACCTCATTACTTCATTTTTCCATCTTAAAAAGTTCATATAGCGATGTCTAATATCTCTGGACTACGAGAATGTTGGTCTGATAGTGTTTTAAACAAAATAACGCCGAATATAACTGATGACAGCGACCTCAATGTCCACCATTTGACAAACAGTTTAGAAAGTCGATTCTTTGCAAAAACAGATGAGCAGTACTCTGTGACTCCAAGTAATGATATAATAATAGACGARGTCGAAGAAACAATATATTTGGACGAATGTGAGCCTAAAAGAGCAAATGTTGTTGAGGAAGAGGTAGACTCTGATTTTGATGTTCTCCCAGAAGAATTGATCATTCAAATCCTGTCCTATATACCATTYAAAGAGTTGTATCAGAATGTAGTACTTGTTTGTAAAAGATGGAAAGACCTTGCTTTYTCACCTATACTGTGGCAATATTTAGATCTTGACGTTACCACTTATTTGACTTCACAATGTCTGACAAACATCATCTGTAAACACTGCTCGCTTTTAAAAAGACTGAATTTGAGGAATCAAGATCAGTTGTGTGATGAAGAAATTCTTGCTATTGCAAGGGCATGCCCATTGTTGTATGACTTAACTTTATCATTTTGTGGAGAAGTTGTTAAAACTGCTAAAATATTTGCAAAACATTGTGTAAATCTTCAMTATCTAAACATGGAAGGGTGTGATGTGACTGATGATTGCCTTAAACACTTMGCCAACCTACCTCTAAAGGGTCTTAATGTATCTCACTGTATACACATAAGTGATGAAGGAATGAAATCAGTAACCAGTAAATGCTGCAATCTAATGGAAATCAACTTTGATGGAGTTCAGTGGATTACTGATGATGCTGTATTTGTCATGGTTCAAAATTGTTACCAGAAACTGGAGAAACTTTGGCTCGATGGAGATAATTTGACTGATGCTAGTGTCAAAGCCATTGCAAAATGTAAAAACCTCAAGTGAGTACTACCTATTTTTTAAGAAAATATATGTCCTAGTTAATCCTCTTAAAAGAGTCAAGCTCTTAGATTTGGTTTTAGTACTGTAGCTATATTTATGGTCCATATAAAACAAACAATCCTTTTGCATGAAATTACCTTAGTAAGTTTCTATGTGATATCCTTGTAAAATAGTAATCTTATATGAGTCATAAATCAAAATGTATACTTTACAGAGTTTTCAGCCTGTCATTCTGTGATAACCTAACTGATGAATCTCTGACCGGTYTTCAACATATGAATAACCTGTACTCACTGAAACTCAAAAAAGGAGTTGGTTTCTCTGCATCAGGCTTGACTGAACTATTTGAACACTTAAATGTGGATTTAATGGACAACGTATCTGGTATATTGAGTCTATCAATGCCTGAATGCACAACTCTAGATGATGGTGTAATTCAAGTAATAGCACAAAGGTAAATTCACTCCCACTTACTACACAGTGAGCACAGGGAACCCAAGAATGCCTCAACTCTGTCTTATCAAAACTTTGTATAARATAAAAATAAATGTGTATTTTTGAAGAAGTTATGTATTGTATGTATGACATTTGGTATAATACATGATCTTTTCATTGAGAATTGCATGTTATGAAAGTATGTGCATTCATAGATGACACCATTTCATCTTCCTTTATTTCATGCATCTTTTTTGTGCCTGCTTAATAGCGATAAGGGGAGTGGGCGAGGTCACTCCCCGCTCATCATTGATATACACAAAAGACATTAAAATGTGATAGAAGAATGATACACTATCACTTATGTCTGTCGCAGTTCTCATGTTTCATCATTTTTTCATGTAATTGTTCCTTACAGTTTATGTACTTCATTAAATTTCAGTTGTCCAAATCTCATCACTTTAAATCTCTCATGGTGCTGGGATATCACWGACCATGGACTTCGCCATATTATTCTTAACTGCAGGCAAATGGAAAGATTGAACATTTGTGGTTTGACAGATGTCCAAGGAGAATGTCTGCTTGGTCTTCCAGAACTCATGCCAAAGCTTGTTTATCTTAATGCCAGTCAGTGTAATTCAATGTCTGATGAAGTACTTTTGGATTTAGTTGATACTGTGCCTAATATAAYTGTTATTGATTACTACAATGAAGTGCTCCAACCAAGATTACGCAGGAGTTTGCAGGATTCCTGTGTTCATGAGAATGAGAGTGAGGACTAGAYCTACTTACAGAACTTCCAAAACAGGAAAGAATAAATTATTAATATATGAACAAAAGGCAATCCCAAGCATTCAAATTGCTGTGTAGGATTTCCAAAAATTATAACCCAAATCTTTCAGTATTCATAGAAACGCCTAACCTTGGTCAGTCTTTCTTGATTCTTGCCTCTGTCTGAGCTCTGTATCATGTACATTTAAGCAATCGAGAGACAAAGTCTTTCTTTCGAATAGTGTAAGAGGAATATTTTATAAACAGTTCGTTGTTTGCGTGCCAACTAAAGGTGCATTAGCATGTTTTATTTTGGTTGTTAGTATAATACGATTTTTTGTTTGTTGATGATTSTGCCTAGCAAAGGTCCCCACGCGAAACTAAACCGCGAAAAGGGCTATTTATTCAATGACAAGTATATTATAATACTCACCAATTATTTGACGTTTTTTATGTCTGTCGTTTTTTTTAATGTCTGTATAATTTAATTTAACGGTTTACAGTAAGTTTTCATGTACTTCAAGTAAACATTTTGTTTAGGAATTCTATTCTGTTCTCACAGTATTGAATAAGAAACTGTTGTCATGATTCAGCATTATTGGTCGATCTCTGGTTATTATTGAATATATCCATTTTACAAAATATATTTGAAATAATGATAATAAAATGAGAGGAAGGATTGCAACTTGTCACATTACTCTGTAAAATTGTATTCAGTTATTTGGTAGGCTTTTCTTCTGAATTTGTTCTTGACAAGTTGCTGTTTTTATGTAATCGTTGTGGTTTTGTTTATAGTGTAAGTTCTGATGGTGCTGTTGTTGTTAGTTGTGTTAGTTTTCGCTGGTTTAATGAGTCTCTGTCTTAAGGAACTTATTCAATTAATTCAATTATCATAAGTAACCGTTAAGTATATATATAGCTTTGCACCTCGCTTTCAATTTATTAATGTTAGTGGTTAATTAAATGCGAAATATTACTAATATTTCTTCTAAAGACAAATATCAACTCGTTCATCCTCTTTATGAAGTTTATTTTCCATTACTAAATGCAAAACTTATGATCGCTTTCTTTTGATCTGCTTGAAATTCGCTTATCAGAGCGGGCGACTACAACTGTGTATTTATAGTCGGGACGCATAGTCGCTTCCCGTTGTTTGACTTCAAATGTTTTATACTATGCAGTACGTGCTAAGTCCAGAACTAAAAATGTTTGAGCTCAATAATTTCTTCCTGTCGCTTCCTCTGGCATGCCGGTTTGAAACGCAACTTTCTTTATGYCTTATTCTGATGGCAAAATAAAGCCAAATASCAATAATATTAAGTATTCCGATAGACAGCCWTTAAGAATGTGTTTTAAGAGTTATTTTTGTATTGGTTTTGTTCATTTCACAGGAAACTGAGTATCTCGTAAAGTTGACACATCGTGAACACATCAGCGATATCGCAAAATACACAAAAGAGATAAATCAACATCGTGCTCAGTTACTGATCATAAAAATAGATTAAACAAGGATACAGTGTAATTGTTGTTGATCCTGAAGGCCGTAAAAATCAAAGAAAACATAAAAATACAAGACAAAATATACAAAACGTACACCGCAATCTTGAATTTAATACATTTACTTTTTCGCTTTCTTTTTCCTCTTGTGTGCATGATCTTTAATTATCTTGTCAGTTCTCCTATTTTTGGCACAGTTGAGCCGAACGATTTCCCTRAAATGACTGACATTCATTTGTCTAAGTGGGGAATTGAGTTTAAAATAAAACTACCTCCTATTCTGAAGAATATTTCGGCTGCTATTTCTGCTTGATTATRACGAATTCTATGAATTTTTCAAATTCCCTGAAAACACCATAAAAAGGCGATCGCTGGAAACACCATAAGAAGACATTCCCTGGAAACACCATAAGAAGGCATTCCCTGGCAACACCATAAGATATTCCTTGGATACACCATAAAAAGATATTCCCTGTATACACCATAAGACATTCCCTTGCAACACCATAAGAAGGCATTCCCTGGCAACACCATTAGACATTCTCTGGCAACACCATACAAGACATTCCCTGGAAACACCATAAGACATTCCCTGGCAACACCATAAGAAGGCATTCCCTGGCAACACCATAAGACATTCTCTGGCAACACTCCATAAGAAGACATTGCCTGGAAACACCATAAGAAGCCTCATTCCCTGGAAACACCATAAGAAGACATTGCCTGGAAACACCATAAGAAGACATTGCCTGGAAACACAATAAGAAGACATTCCTTCCTGGAAAAATTACTTGAAGGAAAATATTCAGGAATGATATTAAAGTGGACATCAGTGCGATTGTCACAAATCGAGTACATCAGAATTTGTAATTGAAGATCATGAGAATCGTCTGGAGAACTGGCAAAATGAGAAGTGAAGGGTCTCGATAAGCTGTTCGAATTCTGCACAATCCCCAATTATATGCGAGTGGTATGTATTGAGCTTACCACACGGCTTTTTCTCGAAAGGAAGGACTAATTTCCGAAAAAACTGTAAGTTGTCTATCTTTTTACGTTGTACTTATCTTTTTATAAGTAACTGTTTCTAGAAACATCCGAACCAACACTAKTACAGCGCTATTCAACTTTGGATTCAAAACAAAGAAGAGGGGTCATTATATTTCTTTTAAAATTGTACAGCCAAAATAAGAATTGCGTAAAAGAACCATATCCTTGTGCTAATCTGGCTCGTGATGGCTTCTCGCGCTCTTAACAAAATAAAGTCATTTTGAAATCAAAATCGTTATTATATTGAACTTATAATATGTTATGCACACTTGTTTATTCTCGAAATAAAGCATGTACGATATCATAGATATTATATTAATGCCATCTAACACAGGCGAAATTAAACTGGTTTGAAAAGCAACTAAAAGTTAACTGACATWCTGATAAAATTCTTGATTTTTAAGACGGAATATGCCGTAGCTGTCTGATTAGCTGACAGTTTCTTTGTAGACTTTTGATGGATATTTATGTAAAGATATTTTTTGACAACATTTAAGTAACATGCTTGAGTCAAAAGCAAACTATTTGACACAGTTCTCGGAAGCATTTTTACAGATTAAGAATTTCTTGAATTAGTGTTATGACTGTGTCAGTCAACCTTCCAAAAAATCAATTGCGTTAAATATAACTGGCTATTTCATGCATTAGATGCTTTTTGTTGTGAACTTTCCGTAAATCTTAGTTGGTATTGTACGGTTTTTTTTTTTAATTTCTAGGTGTTTACCGATTGATCACGAAATAGAACTTGAAAGAAGATTGCAGCTCAAAATTCCGACGAGAAAAATATCATTTTTAAAATCCTTAAATAGCCATATTTTACGATTAAAGAAAAAGTTCCGTCAAATCTTCTCATTTTCTCTTTAACGTAAGTCGGCATTTCCTGATATGACCTTTGTAGTTATAAAGCGATTACTGTCTGGAAAGACAGACATGTTTCTTTTTAACTATACATACTGCATAACTATTCCTTTTTGAAAGACATTTTTTAAGAAGGCGTTTGACTGGAATATTTTTAGCAAATCAAACATTAAACCGAACACGAATTAAAAATAAGATGAAATAATCCACATCCATCCATAACACTTGTAACATTTATCTAAATAGATTATTTTTACTATTTTATAGCTTGATTATGCCCCATTGATCGAGAGCATAATTTCTTAATGTCGAGAGATTCTTTGAACTCATTTTTAAGAGAAAATGGATTGCAATTTAATTTAGAAATACTGGCATGGTAAAAATCGTTCTACTCGCCAACCAGGCGCGCAATTTTCTAGGATACCGAAGCGCGTCAAATGAATGAACTTTGAATACAAAAAAATACAAAATAATTTATAATGATAAGATTTATTTAATAAATATAGCTCCTTAGAAACATGGAAATCCGATTCATAATTTCATTTAAGAGCCGCTTTTCCTGTTCAGTTTGTACACAAAATTGTACATTATTAGTTGTTTTCTTTCCATTTATTATATTTACATTTTAYCATTAATTTGATATCTTCCTACTTACATCGATTCAATAGAATAAAATCATTGAAAACTCGTGATACTGTTTCAAACGTGCCGCGGTGTGCGGGGCCAGTAGTTTAATATATGAGTAAGATACATAGCTTCAGGCCTCATTACTCTGGTCACGGAAAAGATTTATAGCATTATCCGTCAGTTCTTAAGGAAATAAAGCTTGAAATAAGAATGAAGCAGTAGGTCCAAGTAGTTTCCATGTCAAAATGACTTTTTTATGATAATCGATATTAAACGACAAAAAGACAATGGGTTTGACGAGTAGACTATTAGTTTGTCTCTTCTTTCACACTCGAAAAAAGCCACTTTTGTAGAGGAGACTATTCAAATAGGCGATGAAATGCTATAAAAGCTAGTTACATATGTATTTTTTTTACAGCTTTTAACTTATGATTTATGCCTGAGKCGCGGTTCTTTCAGTGGTGGAGTGAGATTCGTCGTACAAAACRGTGTAGGAATCAGAATCCTTTGCCCAAATGCTCTTTTTTACTTAACCATTATACATACTTTGACCTCAAAAATGATTAAAATATTCTTTTGTGTGTGTGTGTGTTTTTTTTTTTATCAAATTCTAGGCATTGTTGATATTACTAGTACACAAGCGAAACGAAAACTTGCATGATTAGCGTGGCCCGCCGGCACCTTAAAAGTAATCCTTTTATAACAAAAATCATTCCACTTGTCTTATTCAGAATCTGAGTGAATATCCCTAAACGCCTTTTTTGCGCTCACTACAGATAGCGGATAAGATGTATTTACYTCGAGTAAACTGCTCTCTTTTTTACGATTCGTATTGTGATCTATTTATTTATCACACCTGGTATCTTTTTATGCTTTATTTTAATTTCCTAGAAAATCCACGCAACTTTCCTGCGCTTACATCTCGTGCACCAAAACCSMCGCGATTTRACAAATTTCATGATTTTATGAACTTTCATTCCAGCAACTCACTGAATTGRGATCATCAGATCGAACATCAAATGGTTTTCCCCTGCCGATCGTGTTCCGCTAGGTTTATTGAAAACATATCTCATGTAATTCCCTAGTGTCAGGAAATTGCCAGATACTGCGCCTCTGATGAGATCGTGAGCAAAGTCACTTACGTCACAACCTCACTATAAAAACGCGTTCGACGTCAGTTTTGTCATAATAGCGATAAAACAGAAGCAAGAAAAGAAAAAAAAAATATGGAAAACAATTCGCTTTGTGCTACAAAGAGTAATACCACTGGCRTTCAACCTAGCCAGATTTCAGGTGTATATTTAGTCCGTGGTATCGRYAYTATTTCGTTGGCAATGATCACAAGCTTAGCCAATYGCATGGTGYTATTTCTATTCATCAAAGACCCCTTTAACAAGATTCGCAAATCAAGAACAAATATCTTAATCACTAGTCTTGCAGTTGTGGACTTTTCAGTAGGATTTCTTCTAGAACCCATCGGTGCGTACTGGTTTTTAACCACTTTTTCATCCAAACAGGAACCATTTAAGCGCAAATATCTAGAAATGGCTGAAGCTTATCTTCTGCTTGTCTCCGTCTTCCACCTTCTTGGCATTACCAGGGACCGCCATCTTGCAATCCTAAATCCAATGCAGTATTCGTTCAAGAAAACAAGCAGAAAGAGATCCTACAGCATTGTGGCTGTCATCTGGTTGTACTGTTTATTTCTCGTGGCTGGTCTCAGGTTCATCGGCAGGCATTATATACGCAACATTTTGTTCTGCTTGCATGTRGACCTTGCTGTAGTTGTATCTGTTACTATGTTCTGTGGAGTAATGCGTTCTCTACGTAAACAAACACTGTGTCTAAAGAGTCTAAACGTCCAGCAACTCCTTACTGCCAGGTCAATTGAGAGGGAAAGAAAAGTAACGAAAACTATGGGTTTTATGCTTGCCGTGTTTCTTGGATGRACGCTTCCTTGGTTTCTAATGATGCAAATTCTACCGTTATGTTCCAGCTGCAAAAAGAATCAAGCAAAGTTATTGTGGGTTTTTCAATGCTTCTTTGTGCTTTTCCAGGCGAACTGTGCTTTTAATCCATTCCTATGTGCGTGGAGACTGCCAAAATARAGYACAGCTATGAAATTATTACTGTACKGWGGAAAACAAAATTTCCCAAGAAAGATTTCTCTTGGTACAACGTCGGTTTCGTTCCAGCAGCGGTCCTCGTTGGGYTGGCAGTCTACGTCTACTGGTGATCAGCCCGTAGTGACAAACATTCAATCAACCGTATCTTGASCATTATTCTATCCTTAACATTGCATGCCGCAAAGTATAAAACGCTTYTAAACTCGTAAGGTCCACAAGACACCGTTTATTTTTACTAGCTAAACTATTACAAAATATTTTGTTTATATAGTACGTAATCTAATAGACTGCAAAGATGTTGTAATACTACCTATTCTACGTCGTATTTAATAAAGAAAACTATAATCATAGAAGCACTCCCCTTTGCATCGTGTTTCTCATATACTTGCGCAACATTGTAGTAAAAATGTTCGTATTGAGACACCATCTGTGCAGGTGACTTTATAACATGGCTAACGAAACGTCAAGGCCTTTGACGAACATTAGACAAACGTATAATTTTTCCCTAAAATACTGCCAGAACATTAAGAAATGCTATGTTTATGGCGAACGTTTTGATTTCAAAGGGACTCTCGACGTATAATACTGAATTGCGTGTCTCCAAAACCKCTCATGTCTTCCTGTTCGCATTTCATTTGGTTTTGAGTGATATCAGGTAAAATCAAAGGACAATACAAATGATTGCATGTATACATAAATAAAATACACATTTATACATTCAGATCGATCGTTCTGTTAATCTCATTATTGATTGCCGTCAGATTCAAAAAGCAATGCCGTCGGGACCCGCAGGGGCGATGTCCGTTTTAATTTAGCCTTCTTGATCGTATGACGCAGTAAAACTCTTCCCTTGAGCATAATTTGAATTTTTAAAAATTTGTAATAAAGTCCAAAATATATCGATGGTTGCCATACTCCACWACTAAAACTCTTGTAAGGAATTTCTTAAGGGGACAGTGACGACAYAGTCATGAATTTTGAAAGATTTTGATGTGGATTAGCGATTTTTTCGTTTTACTGACAAGATTTTGAAGTGGTCTTTTACTTCTATACTATATATAAACTTTAACTACTATAACTGTCTCAACATTTTGATCTAGCACCCTAATCTTGTCACTTCAAGTCTTTTGTTTCTCTTTTCTTTTTCTTTCAGAAARCTTTTGATTCMGGTTTTCGTTTAGTTCTGTTGGATGGAATTTCCGGTTTTTGAGTCTATTTCACACCGAAATGACCAATTATGTCATTATTACTTACTTAAAAAGAAACACTCCTTTGTTTTTTTCCTTTTTACTTTTCCAAACATATCTTTCTCCATATCTTGTCTTTCTTTCGCCCTTTTTTCTGCAGCTTAACGGAAACCATTAGGTCTTCTTTACTGGTTTTTGACACTGTCCGCGACGATTTCTTTCTTTACTGTGAAACAATGACTTAGGAAAAGACCAGAAAAAACAGCTCCGTCGAAAGATGTCGAAATACTCTCATAATAAACCGACGAATGGAAAGATACAAATAAACTCAAATTATTCAAGCATCTATGTGAAAGGAGCCTTATCAAGAATCATTGAAGTCGCGTTGAAGACATTGAAGAGTGTGAGCATTATATTATAGCAGAGTTGTAGACTGGTTTAATATATTATGTCACTCGAATTACTGTAAAAAAGAGCAATTCTAAATTAGTATAAAAACTACTGCATTAACTTGACTTTTTTCATAGTTTTGCGTTTCCTTTACACTCCTAACTTTGGAAAAAAAGCAATTGAAAGACATCAAAAAGTCCAATGAATGATTAACGGAGCGCCGTTCAGCGGTTTCAAAAGTAGGATTTAAATTTGGCGGGATTAATGACGTCTTTGATTCTTTACTTACAAATAAAACGTAAAATTAAAAGTCATTGCTTTGTCGGAAAATCGAGAATAATAATATAATAAGCCAACTAGTCGTGTGAACAGACAATGGAGGAAAATGAAAGAAAAAGAAAAGAAAGGAAAGAAAAGAGAAGAAAGAACAAGAGGTTGCTTGTACCATGTGCTTGTACCAGTATTGTAGGTCTTTGAGATGCCATTGAATATCATGAATGATGAATGTGTTACTAGAGACTGATCGTTTGACACTATGAAACCGTAGTTATTCTGACGATGACAGTCTTAAGACTGTTTTCTCTATTAATAGTTACATGGATTTTTTACCTTCGGTTGACCAGTGGACTGCCGACRTATAAATTATCGCCAGCCTGGAAGGTAGAGATTTCTAAACAAGCCTCMAATTACGGTAAGGTTGATAGAAGTAAAGTTTATGACTAAAATTGACAAATAGTATAAATGTCGAGCGTCRATTAWCACTATTTCTCTGCCATAGAATAGACACAGTCACTGCGAAAAGCACTGGGCACAAGCAATAAACAGCGTTTTGATATAGAAAACAGTTTATCTTTTAAAATTACCTGGTTAAAAWATCGTATTCATCTTAATTCTGAAATTATCATGTCAAGTCTGTTAACTCTATGRGRTCTGTAAACGAGGAAAAAATGTTTTTTWCAATTTTAGATTATTTRATCGATTTGGTTACTCTAATAACCCTAAGATAACAAGTGTTACTATCTTAACAGCTCAGCATGTGGCATTGCCATTTTTGATTAAACAATTGGATAATCTCCACGTTCCCGGAATGTCAGGCGAGGCCAAGACACCACTTGGTAATGTAAAATATGATTTAAAAAAGTAAGTGCATACATCTATAACTGTATATAACGACACAGCATAGCGCAAACACTATCTGCGTTTTTATCATTGGAACTGATTTAATTTAACAATTTTTGTTGTGCGATCTCTTAGGGGGCGGGGGGTTACTACCTCCCCAACTTGGGTGGGGGTGTACCCCACGACCCTCAAAACCCTTACCCTATCCCAGACCA